ATATATATATATATATATATATATATATATACACATACTTGAGATGGAGTCTCATTCTGTCACCCAGGCTGGAGTGCAGTGGTGCGATCTTGGCTCACCGCAACCTCTGCCTCCCAGGTTCAAGAGATTCTCCTGCCTCAGACTTCCAAGTCTTTGGGATTATAGGCACTCGCCGCCACACCCAGCTATTTTTTTGTATTTTTAGTAGAGGCAGGGTTTCACCATGTAGGCCCAGCTGGTCCCGAATTCCTTCATGTGATTCACTCACCTTGGCCTCCCAAAGTGCTGAGACTATAGGCGTGAGCCACTGCACCCAGCCCATCCTATATTTAACATGTTGCTTCATCAGTGTGTTGAGTTTCAAATTTTAATTAACACATTTTTCATTGCTATAAATACTGCTTGGCTCTATTTCAGATATAGCTAGTCTTTTTTGACAATGTCTCAATATTTGCAGTGTGTTTTATTCTTTTATATCTTCAATGATTTAAGGATACATATTTTACTATTTTATTTGTAGTTCTAATATCTGCAGTTCTTCAGGGTCTAACTTACTGTGTGAGATTGGCTGACTCCCTCACTGTGGTTTCACTCTTGATTTATTCTGTGGGTTCCTGAGCTTTTTTGTGGCATGGCTTTTTTACTGTAGGAAGCCTCTGCTGCCGATGTGAGGTTGTGTTGTGCAGAGATATTATTATTATTATTATTATTTATTTTTTTTTTTTGGAGACAGAGTTTCGCTCTTGTTACCCAGGCTGAAGTGCAATGGCGCGATCTCGGCTCACCGCAACCTCCGCCTCCTGGGTTCAGGCAATTCTCCTGCCTCAGCCTCCTGAGTAGCTGGGATTACAGGCACGCGCCACCATGCCCAGCTAATGTTTTGTATTTTCAGTAGAGACGGGGTTTCACCATGTTGACCAGGATGGTCTCGATCTCTTGACCTCATGATCCACCCGCCTCGGCCTCCCAAAGTGCTGGGATTACAGGCTTGAGCCACCGTGCCCGGCCTGTGCAGAGATATTATGTTTGATTCTGTTAAATGCCTGTGGATCTCCACAAGCCAGGGATCATTTTTGTTAATTTTTTGGCTTGCACATTCTGGGAGCAGTCAGGTAGGAAACACTCTAACCCTCAGGACAACTGCAGTGACTAATCCTCAGGGCGGAGTGCGCTACTGGATCGCACATGCGCAGTGCTGCTCTCGCTGATCCTCACTGTTGCTGCTGTGGCTCTCTGTTAGTTTCTTGGGAGGAGGAACACCTTAGCAAAAATGCTTTGCCAAATAAGATTTGAAATAGCTTTATTTTGAGCAAAACATTTGCCTGTTTTTTTTTTTTGCTCTGTTGTTGCTGTGTCACGTGGTGCCTGCCAGTTAGAGCTAAACAGTCAGTTTTGCTGTTTCTATGCAGAAAAATGCTCACATCACAAGTCAGTGTCTAGGCGTCCCGGGAGGTGACTCTGGTAATGTGTATTTTCATTGCTCATTTCCACTCTTAAAGGTCCAATTCTCCTGACTTTTTCATGTTTCCCTAGGGTGCCATCCTGTATGTAAAATCCAAAATTGATTATTTCTTCTCAAAGGCAGTGTTGCCATAATTCACACAGTTTAGATATATTATACAAAAGTATTTAAATCTATTCAACATTGTTCATTAAGCTTCTGTTAGAGTCATAAAAATATCTTGTCATGTCTGATTAATTCAGCTGAGTTCAGTTTTTAAACAGCATGCTGTTCTACAATGTGCTATTTATTGTTAAAACCTAGAATTCGTGTTTCCAATAACTGAGAGGGATGGGGTATTTTACTAAGATATCTATCATAATTATAATAAATTTAGGACTGTGTGCTGATTTAATTAAATCTATATAGAAATGATAGGAAGTGAAAATGAATTTAATATAGTGAAAATGAATTTAATATAGCATTCATTTTGTCCAAAAGCCAATGTTCCATGAACACACTGTTGTTCTTTTCCCTCTGCAAACCTGAAGCAAGCACTGCTAGAAATGTGATTTTCTACAAAATTGACAGGCCGCTCCCTCTCAGACCCCAACCCTTCTTTTCTCCTTCTCTTTCCTCCTGGCCCCTTACCTTTCCCATTTCCATTCCTGCTTTCAGACTGGCTCCTTCTTTGCTTAAAAGGCAAGATTTTCCTGGCCCTGTTGCACCCTAGACTCAAACAGTTTGCTGAAGATACCAATTTGCTGTCTGTCATCACACTATATTTTCTAGAAGATTCTATCATCATGAAGCACCCCCAGACTGGTTGAAAACCAAAGTTACTCCTCCTTGGAAAATCTTTGTGGACACCCAGATTGGCATTCAAATTTCCAAGTTGTGGCTGGGCGCAGTGGCTCATGCCTGTAATTCCAGCACATTGGGAGGCCATGGCAGGCGGGTCACCTGAGGCCAGGAGTTCAAGACCAGCCTGGCCAACATGGTGAGACCATGTCTCTACTAAAATTGCAAAAATTTGCTGAGCACAGTGGCAAGAGCCTGTAATCCCAGCTACTCAGGAGGTTGAGTCAGGAGAATCACTTGAGCCTCGGAGGCAGAGGTTCAGAGGTTGCAGTGAGCTGAGATCGTCCCACTGCACTCCAGCCTGGGTGACAGAGCCAGACTCTGACTTAAAAAATAAAAAAATAATAAAAATAAAAAGGCAAAAAAATTACCAACTTGGGCCAGCGATGGGGTCTCCAACCTCAATGCTGTCACCTTCAGGCCTCTGGGGGTTACAGCCTCTGCTGCAGCTCTCCTCTGCACCTGTGCTATTCCTCTGAGCCCCATTCGCTCCCATAGCTGTCTCATTCATTCACTGGTTCACTCAGCCTCCAACCACCCTTAAATCATACCAGGCTCACCAGGAGATAGAAAAATCACCCTCTATGGGTCTGACAAACATGCCTGAGTCCTGATGAGTGGGTCTTGTTTTCATTTCCAGCCCCTCACAGGGTCCCCAGGGCTGGGAAGAGGCCATGGCCGGGGCTCAGAGCTCCAGCTCTGACCCAGGAAAACACATACATTTATCCCTTATGCATTTGGGGTCATCCTTACTGCTGTGTCTGATCTCCGTTGGAAGGAGCCAGACCTCACAATCTAAACTAAAACTCAATTGGCTAACAACTTAAAACTTTTCTAAACAGGTAAAAGCAATGGAGAGCTGGGACATGTCTGTGAGCATGTCCAGCACAGATATTTTGGTTAAAGTGCAAGGATATAGAATGTACTACTGCCTATAAGCATGGCATGTCTAACAGCTACATAGGATAGGACCTAACAGAGTTATTAGCACACTTATTCTTTAAGAAGAAAGGATTCCAGGTTCATCCATGTCCCTACAAAGGACACAAACTCATCGTTTTTGATGGCTGCATAATATTCCATGGTGTGCCACGTGTGTACCTATGCAACAATCTTGCATGTTCTTCACATGTACCCCAAAACCTAAAATGCAATAAAATAAATGGGAAAAAATAATAATAAAAAATTAAAAAATAAAAATAATATTTAAAAAAAAAAGAAAAAAGGAAACTTCAAAAAGGAACTTTTCTGCTTCCCACAACAGGGAGCAAAGTGAGCCCCATGCATGCATAGGCCCCTCCCTCGGCTTCCGCTCTCCATGGAAACACAATTGATCACATGATTGATCAGGGTATGCCACTAGGGCTCTCTTTCCTTCTTCTTCTTTTTTTTTTTCCCAGAAGTCATAAAGGGATATAGAATATATTCAAAGACCTGCTCATGCTTTTAGTGGAGAGGCAAAGAAGGTCTGTTCTGGACTGGGGAAGCAGCTGTGCTCCAGGGGGGCAAGAACTCCACGGAGGGCGGCCAGGTGTCTCTGGCACAGGCGATGACAGGAATATGCCTCGGCCACTGAATATTCCTGTGGAAGCTTCTTCACCTTCCTGGGCATCAGTGTTTACACTGGGGTAATAATAAATGCTGTGTTATAGGGTCCAGCCCTACAGAGTTCTGTGAGCCCCTCCCGGCTGGTGTGGAGATGAGAAATTGTAGAAATAAGACACAAGACCCAGAGATAGAGAAAAAAGAGTTTGGGCCCAGGGGTGCACTGCTACCCAAATCGTGGAAACCAGCAGTGACCCCGAATGCCTGGACGCTCTCACTTATTGAGTTTCAAGTCTGGAGGCAGGGAGGGTTGGGTGGTCGGTGACTGGGGGCAGGGTAAAATAGGGCGTGGCATGCAGGTGGGGACTCAGGAATTAGTGAGCAGAGATGAGGTCAGGAGCATAATGTGTCAGCACTTTTCCATACTCGTTAAGAAAGAACAAAGACATTAAGATTTGTATTACTCTTACTGATTATCTTTTCTAAGAGAAAAGGAACCAGGTACAGAAATGGAACATGAGAGTGGACACGGAACGTGACCACTGAAGCACAGCACCACATAGAGACAATTAAGCCCCCAATGTGTGGGGGACTCCCTAACAGCCATCAGGCATTACCATAAGAGGTTGGAGAGGTGGAGTTTTCTCCTAACTCCTCCAGGGAAGGAGACGTCTCAGCTATTTTGGACATCTCCTTCCCTAGCTGGCTAAACAGCGGGTGCTTCCCCAGTGGCGCTGCCGGTCAGCCAAGGCTCCCTCCAGCTGCCCTTATGTGAGCCTGATAGAGGGCTTAAAGCGTCTTGCCTTAGAGTAATTCATTTCACAATGTCACCCCAGGTTCACACTTCTGACCTGAGAGGCATTAGTAAAAGAATTAAGATCACCTATTAATAATTAATAACTACTAAGGTTATATTTCTAGTTACTTTCTTCTTCATTATTTATATGGAAATAGGCTGAGGCTTTTGGCTCCTGCCTCGGCACTTATGGGGTCTACCCCTACACTGCGTTGAAAATTAAATGAGTCAGTCATAGAAGGAACAGTGTCAGGTCTCAAGGGTGTGTATGGAGTCCAGGCTGGCCACCAGCCGTCTGCAGGATGAGGCGGGGTGGAGAGGGAGGGTTCGCAGGGCCTGGCGCTGGCTGACGGGACTGGAGCTGGCTGATGGGACTGGGTGGAGCATTCTAATCCCAGCGATTCCTCCGCTGGTCTCCGCCTGGACCACGACTCTCGTCCCCTGCGCTCCAGCACCCCAATGATACCCCTCTTGTTTCTGGTCCTCCCCTGTTGGCTCCTGGAGTCCAGCTGCTCCAGGGCGGGGCCTACCGGTGAGTTCCGGGTCGGGGCCCAATTCTGGGGGGCTGTGGACTGCAGCAGGTTTCAGAAGAGGGGAGACCGGCGCTGTCTCCTCGGACTGCGCCCTTCCTCAGTTCCCTTCCGCGGCTCCTTTCCTCCAGTCGCTTTCTACGGCTGCTCCTTCCCCCCAGGGTCAGGGGAGTTGTCAGAGAGGGCAAAGCCTGGGCATGTTGGCTCACGCCTGTAATCCCAGCACTTTGGGAGGCTGAGGCGGGCGGATCACGAGGTCAAGAGATACAGACCATCCTGGCCATCATAGTGAAAGCCATCTCTACTAAAAAAAGAAAGAAAGAAAGAAAGAAGGCGGAAAAGGAACCTCAGGAGGGTGGAGGGGTCAGAGGGCTGCAGAGGGGGAGGTGGGGCAGGGATCCCTGGTGCAGTCCCGAAGCCCCACTCGCTGTCGGGAAAGAGAAACCAGAGCCCCTGGAACTCAAGCTGGGGTCCCGACAGGAGTGAAGTGGAGTTCCACAGGGACCCGATGACAGACACCCCCACCAGCCACAGCCCTGCTCTGCTCTTACCTGACCTCCACCACACAAACCCTCTAGCGCCCCCAGGGCTCCCTGTCCCCTGGCGCTTTCCTGCAGCCACTCACCTGCACCCAGGGGCTCAGCAGACACTTCCCACCCCTCCCTCACCAACCACTGCCACCTCCCAGGTCACATCCTCTCACTCCCCACCTCAGCCCAGCCCTGTCATTCCACAGGCCTCCCTCACCTCCCCACCCATGAAGGGCCCTTAGCACCTCCCTGACCAACTGGCACCTTCTCCCCACTTTCCTGAGGACACCCCAGCGAACACACCCCACGCTTTCCACAGAACCTTGTGCAGCGGGGATAGGAAGCACCATTCCCCCAGGATGACCCTGGGAGCGCTGGTGAATAGAGGTGCCCACTTCTGCCCTTAGGGCCCAGACCCACCTGTTCTTCCTACTGGGGACCGGGTCACAGAGAATAGTCACTGTGCAGACAGAAGTCAGCAAACCCTTTCTAGAAAGGAAGGGCTGAAGGCACTGTGGTCCTTGCCGGCCATGGGTTCTCTGTCTCTGTGTCAAGTCCTGTCCCTTTGCAGAGCAACAGCAGGCAAGGCAACCTGGAAATAAAAGGGAGACCAGGTGTGGACACCGTCCTAGGTTACAGACCCCAGATGACAGCAGCTGCTGTGTCCTGGCAATTGGTGCCCCATCCCCTAGGATGTCATCTCCAAGTGGTGTCAGTTGAAGAGTCACAAGTGTGTCCTACCCTGCCTGTGGTTTCTGGGTGGTGTGGATGTGATGGATGTGAGTGGGGGTCCCATGGCTCAGGGCCTACTCTCCCCTTCTTTGCTGCTGAGTGGCATCAATGGTCCAGTGGGGCCATTAGGGACCCTCTCTGAAGCCTCAGGTGTGAGCTGAGGGTGAGGGGGTGCAGCCTTGTGGTGTGCCAGGTGTAGGGCTGATTGCCCCACAGAGTTGTGGGGTGTCCCTTATGCTGTGCTGAGGTGCAGGATCCGAGAAATAAAGAGACAGGACACAGAAGTACAAAGAAAGCACATCTGGGCTCAAGGGGGCCACGCCACCTATAAGTGGAGTCAGGTAAGACCCCAAATGTCCAGAAGCATGTGTATTTATTGGGTTTAGGTTAGGGGGCAGGGTAGTGAGTGAAGTCATCTTTAAGGATAGTGACAGGGTTGGAGCAATAAAACAAGGGGTCCACCCCCATTAGGTCACCTAGGCTAGGAGGTGGACAGTGCACAGCAAGCGGTCCCCCTACATTAGGCCATTGAGGCAAGGAAGTGGGCTGTGTGCAGTAAGGAATCCAACCGCATTAGGTCACCGAGGCATGGAGGTGGGCCGTGCACAGTGAAGAGGGTGCGGTGTGCAATACCTCTATCTATGGGCATGCTACTTCTAAAAATATCCATAGGAGGATGCTTTAAGTCACAAAGCAGAGACAGAACTGTCAGGGTTTACCGCCACCTGCTGGCAGCTTCCAATTTCTATAGGAGGATGCTTTTGAGCCAGCACAGTAACAAGAGCTGATAAAGTTCACAGTCACCAAGGTGAGGTTATCCTGAGAGGTTTTGAACCCTCGGATGATCGAGGGATTGCCAGTCTGAGGGCAGCCTTCCACAAGAACTGGACGCAAGGTTCCACAACACCATTATTAGGAGGAGTGGCCCTTGCCCCAAGCCTGCCATACAGCAGGTATCTTTATGATACTGAACGCTGCCACCTGGGCGATGGATTTTTGTCCTGGTATAACTGTTTTCCCTTAAATCATGCTCTGCACTGTGTCTGCTCTAGACATTCCACCGACTATAAGCTGCTTATTCTTTAATTCATGCTCTGTACTGTGTCTGCTCTAGGCATTCCTCCAACAAAGATATAATTATATATATATAGGGAAATAACTGAGTAGTAAGATATTCTTAGGCACTCATTCTATGAACTAATATATGATTATATATAAAGGATTATATAAAAGGAAATAACTGAGTAGTAACACTATAAACTGAGGTATTCTTCAGGCACCAGTTGTGCCAGGATTCTGCTTAGCTCTTCTTGCTCGGTGCCTATACTGTGGGGGGGGGGAAGGTTACCCACACTGGGGATTGGGACCAACTGCTTGTGCGGCTTCTGGGTTCCCTGTGGCTCTGCTCCTGCCCATTCCAGGAGAACCACTGTGTCTTCTCATGGCCTGGCCTATCTTCTTAATGACCTAGAGGGTGAGGAGCCCTCACAAAGGGCAGCTCTGAGGCTGCATGGTAATTGTCCTCCCACAGCTGGAGGCCCATCTCCACCAGGGCCCAGTGACACACCTGGAGCTGCTTTCAAATGAGGGGATTTCGCTGCTGTGAGTGGCACAGCCTTGATTCTGAGCACTGGGGGACCCTGTTGTGATTCTGAGGTTGGAAATTGCCATGAAATCCACACAGCACATTTTCCAACCACACATGCCTCTGGGATCTTAGGGAGTCCGGGGTCAAATAGCTGTAGTGGCAGCACCAGCCGCACTCCTCATTCACAGACTGTGTATGGCTGCACCCCAGCTCCAAGGGCAGGGTTGAGTAGTGACGGGGAGGTCATGTGACCAGCACAACCTGTAATAGTTACGGAATTAACTACAAACTCTATCCACTCCTGGTACAAATCCAGGAAATGTGAAATTACCGTCAAATGGGTCTATGAACGCAGCACATCCCTCTAACTGGACCTGACACAGGTGTCCATCCGTTACTTTGCCCCAAATGCACCTCATGAGTAACAGGGGAGCAAGCGAATGCTTCAGATCCCTGGGAGGAGGTCGGGTCGCACACTGTGTCCACTAGGCGTGTCTGGGTATTTGCTGTTTCTTGGTGAACAGTTAGCAAAGTGAATGCCTGTCAGGCTCCAGGGGGAGGCTGAAGCAGTCCCTGCAGGTGCTGTGGGTTGAAGGGGCCCACCAGGGGCTCTGGGCTCTTCTCCTAGTCATGGACTCTGGGTCTGAGATGTGGCTCAGTTCTCAAAGTTGGGCAAAAGAGCTTGGTTATTTTTGGGGGAGACTACTTTCAGCCTTCAGGTCATCCATCCTTGCATCTTTGTGTGTTGTAATTATTTAAATTCAACAGTATCTGTGTGGAGTTTCATTTCTTTTGGATCTTAGACGGCTTTGTTCTATGAGCCATGGGCATAGCTTTGCATGGCTGAGGTCCCCAGCTGGCATTGTGACTACTCTAATCATTTCCATCATGGCATCCTCATTCCTCCTGACAGTTGACAGCCTCCATTTGATATCTGGTATTTCAGGATTTTCCATCCCCATTACTGCTGGGCGCCCATTTCAGGACCAGCATCCCCTACCCCCAACCTTGGCCTTCAGCAACAGGCACCCCTGAGCTTCATGACAGTCTGCTGCCTTCTCCCGGGGCCTTCTTTATATGCTGGGTAAACAGGAGTCCCCCAGGCTTCCCGTGAGCACAGAGGACGGACATTGTTCTGGATTTTCATGCTGCAGCCACTCTGGCATGGGCGCTTCTCTTGGCCTTTCGTTCCTTCCTCTACAACCCGCCACGTGAGAGCTGGATTTTTTGTTTCATGCGGTGTGGGTCATTTCTTTTTCCAAGGTCCCAGGGGCAACCTACTAGCAGATGAGAAGCACATTCCAGGAAACTTACCATGTCTTGTTACCCATAATAAATAAACTCACCCTTATCCAATGTTGACTACATCATACCCACTGTGCCATGCTCCAGCATCCTCAGGGCGCCCTCCCACACTCTCCCACCTCCCACAGTCCACCTGGGTTGCTGCTGAAGATCCTGCCATCTAGGCCTTTCCTCCTGTAGCAGGCCTGGCACCTCCTTGGCAAGCTCTTGTGCTGACCAATGTATGTATAGGCCTGGGCAGAGTGGGGAGATGGACACATTGGTGACCCATGGTTCCTCCACAGACAGAGGCCACTGCCCAGGAAGAGAAGTCCATGCTCTGGCAGCCCCGCCCTGCAGGAAACCCTCTTGCTGTCACAGTGTTTGGGGTCTTTCCCTCACCCCAACACTCTCCGGTGTTTTTTCTTTTTTCCCGTAGATGCTCACTCTCTCTGGTACACCTTCACCATCATCCATCTGCCCAGACCTGGACAACAGTGGTGCGAGGTCCAAGGCCAGGTGGATCAGAAGAATTTCCTCTCCTATGACTGTGGCACTGACAAGGTCTTATCTGTGGGTCGCCTAGAAGAGCAGCTGAATGCCACAGATGGCTGGGGAAGACAACTGGAAATGCTGAGAGAGGTGGGGCAGAGGCTCAGACTGGAACTGCCCGGCATTGAGCTGGAGGATTTCACCCCCAGTGGTGAGTAGAGACCAAGGAGGGAAGGGAGCAGACTGTAGGCTCAGGGGCTGCACCGTGTGCGGGGAGAAGACATTAGATATGGGGCCTCCATGAAGCCCAGCAGCAAGGGCAGGACCTGGAGGAGACAACAGGGCCAGATGAGAAGGGGCTCAGAGGAGGAGGATGTGGGGCAGGGAAGAGAATTTGTAAAGACCAGAGCTGATCTCTTTCTGATTGGGGACAGGACCCGTCAGGCTGCAGGCCAGGATGTCTTGTGAGTGTGAAGCCGATGGACACAGCAAAGCATCCTGGGAGTTCGGATTTGATGGACAGAAGTTCCTCCTCTTTGACTCAAACAGCAGAAAGTGGACAGTGGTTCATGCTGGAGCCAGGCGGATGAAAGAGAAGTGGGAGGAGGACAGGGAACTGACTGTGTTCTTCTGGAAGGTCTCCGTAGGAGACTGCAGGAGTTGGCTTCGGGACTTCCTGATGCGCAGGGAGAAGAGGCTGGAGCCCACAGGTAACTACAGGGGAGCACTGGGAGCGCCTGGAGATGCCATCGAGTTACAGCCTTGTCTGTCAGTGTCTGTGGTGGGTGCGGGTGTATGAGTGTGAGTGGGTGTCAATGTTTGTGTATGTGTGAGTGTGTGTGTGAGCATGAGTTTGAGTAAGAACATGACCCCTCATGAGGGGCTCCTCCTGGGGGTGCCTGTGCTCTCCCAGCCTCCTCTCCCTTCTCCCTCCTGACTCCTCTTCCCCACTGCACCTGCTTTTGCTCCCTCACTGTGAATTTCTCGCCAGCCTTGAAACTGTGGGTGTCATTGTATTTCTAGACCTTTATCCTTAGATTTCCCTTCTAGGATTACTTTTCCTTTCCTCTCCCTTGGTCTGTTTCTGGAAATCCATCAAAACCACCTCCAATGCCAGCCCTGCGACTCTCCCCTCCCCCACCTTGGGGCATCACCTCCTCTCTGCCACAGCAGGAGGGGGAGCTGTGCTGTCACCTTTCTTCCCTCAGCAGTTGTGTGAGCTCCCTGAGGACAGGGGACACCCCCACTGCCTTCCTACTCCAGGACCTGTCACAGCTGCTGCCCCACAGCAGAGGGGGACAAAACCTCTGCCTTGCAGGATGACCTGGGGTGGCAGGAGCTGAGGAGGTGTCCTCATAACATTTGGGGCCAGGACAAGGGTTGTCACTCTTGTGTTTCCATTTCAGCACCACCCACTGTGGCCGCAGGCATAGCCCAGTCAAAAAACATGGCCACCACCCTCAGTCCCCCAAGCTGCTTCCTCATCCTCCTCTGCTTCATTCTACATTGCATCTGAGGAGAGTCTTTTAGAGTGACAGGTACTGTGGGCAGAACTGGGAGGGGAGCAAGGCGCAGATGGGTAAGGTGGGAGGACAAGGAAGGAGAATTCCCAGAGTCCCACCCTTCCCCATGGCAGGGACCTTCTCATCCTGACTTGAGACAGGTGAATGATACCTCATGTCACATGTTGGCAATGACCTGGGAAGCTCAGCCCTGAGTTCTGATGGAGTCTGACCTTCAGAGGCCAAAGGGAAAGGCAGCGCCCATATCAAGGCCCAGGGCCTGTTGAGCTCGAGAGGGATTAGCCAATTCATGCCTGTTGCAGAGCAAATTATTATTCAGGGAGGGTAGTGGTGTGTGGCCTGCAGGCAGCAGGAACTCAGACATGGGCAGTCCGCACAGTAGGAGAGGAGCAGCATGGCAGCTTCACCTAGGATGTCAAGGGAAAGGGCATCCCTGAAGGAGGCTAAGAAAGTGATCTGGGGAATCCTAGGACAAGGGGGCTGTGAGGGCCTTGGTTCAGCCATTCCAAAGCCCACATTCCCAGAGAAAGCAGCTTGGGTCCCAGCAGTTAAGGTGGAAGGTGAAGAGTAGAGTGTGTCCAGGATGAGGTTTAGGAAAAGGCCGAGCCACTAGAACCCATGGGATTGCCCACAGGGCTCTGCGGCAGTGCCCCTGCCCTCCTGCCTCCTGCACACTCCAGACCCTGAGCCAGCTGAAGGCCCTGCCTGGAGCAGATGGACGCAGACAGGGAGCTGAGCTGCTGCTGGAGTTCCATGGTCACCACTGAGCTTGGCCAGGAATGAATGGGGCGGGGTGGGGACAGTTCCATTCAGAGCTGTGGGTGCAGCTCCCAGGGTGAGGAGAGGCTGAGAGTGAAGGGGAAAGAGCAGGTTTGCCTGCAAGGCCACCCAAGGCCAGGGAACATGGATCCAGAGACCGCTCTTTGGACAGGGCTCCCCCAGGTCCTCTAGACCCTTCTGTGAGAAGGAGGAGCAGGCCCTGAGTGAGGGTGCAGACCCCTCTTTCCCAGCCTCAGTTCTGAGCCCCGTGGGCTGTAGCAGGGCCTGGGCTGGCTCTGTGATGTGGTGCAGGAGGGAGGAGGTTGGGAGGCTGCAGAGCTAGGGGGAGGGTTGGAGGGAAAACATGGTCCTTATCTGAGGGAGAGGCTCCGAAATGGGGAGGGTCTGGGAGGGATCACCCAGGAGAACAGACCCAGGTATTTCTCAGCCACTTAAACCAATGCTTCATCTTTCTGAAGGTGGAAGATGACAACAAGCAGCCCCTGTTAGCCTGGTCTGCCTCCTGCTCTCCCTCAGGGAGGCTGCCTGTCTACTCACCACTGTGCCTTGCTGGACAGCCAGGAGTTCAAGGCTTAGCAAGTCCACAGACCTCAGTAGACGATGAGGGCATTGGAGACCCAACCTCGCATGCCACTCATTACCTTCAGTGATGGTCCTAGCAGCCATTTTTCTTCACATCCTCTGCCACTTTCTCTCGGTGCTAAAGGTTGGAATTCCCGCACAAGTCATAACTGGACAAGAAATCCCAGCAAAAAGCATTTTCTCTCTACTTCCTTGATTGTGGGAAAGCAGACACTTCTCTGAAGCTGGACCTCATTCTTCCAAATGGTATTGCTAGTAAAATCACATGCTAGACTTCACTGACCAAGAATTGTATTAATTATTTTTACTTTTTTTGTTTTTTTAAATTTTCTCATTCTGTCAACCATGTAGGAATGAAGTGGCACAATCATCACTCACTGTAATCTCACCTGACAAAGGTCGAATATCCAGAATCTAATATCTACAGAATCTTGTTCAATATCCAGAATCCAACAAGCAAGAACAAAAAATCCAATTAACAAATGGGTAAACAGATGAACACTTTTTATTTTATTTTATTTTATTTATTTATTTTTAAGAGACGGGGTCTCGCTATATTGCCCAGGCTGGAGTGCAGTGGCTGTTCATAGGCATGATCCCACTCCTGATCAGCATGAGAGTTTTGACCTGCTCCATTTCCGACCTGGGCCGGTTCACCCCTCCTTAGACAATCTGGTGGTCCCCCGCTCCCAGGAGGTCACCATATTGATGCTGAACTTAGTGTGGATACTCGGTCAGTATAGCGCACTACAGCCCAGAACTCCTGGGCTCAAGCGATCCTCCCACCTCAGCCTCCGAAGTAGCTGGGATTACAGGCACGCAGCACTGCGCCCGGCGAGATGAACACTTTTCAAAATAAGACATACAAGTGGCCAACAAACATGAAAAAATGCTCTATATCATTAATCATCAGATAGGTGCCAATCAAAACCGCAGTGAGTTACCACCTGTTGCCTGTCACAAAGTCAGAGATGGTGGTGAGGCTGCAGAGAGTTGAAACAGACGCTGCTGGTGGGAAAGCGAACCTGTTCAGCCGCGGTGGAAAGCAGCGTGGAGATCTCTGCAAGAACTTAAAATAGAACTACCATTCGACCCAGCAATCCCACTTTTGGGGATATACCCAAAGGAAAAGAATTCATTTGATCAAAAAGACACCTGCAACCGTATGTTCAATGCAGTGCTGTTCTCACTAGCAAGGACAGAGTCAATCTCAGTGCCCCGCAACAGTGAACTGAATGAAAACAATGTGGTGCACAGACACCATGAAAATCTATCTGGCCATTAAACAACAAAATCATGTTCTCTTCAGCAACATGGATGGAACGAGAGGCTGTTATCCTAAGCAGCCTAATGCAAGGACAGAAAGCCACATACTGCATGTTCCCATTTGAAAGTGGCAGCTAAACATTGAATTCACATGAACCAGATGCTGGAGATCACTAGATAGGGGAGAGAGGAGGGGTACCTGGGCTGAAAACCACCGTTGGGGACCCTGCTTACTGTTTGGGTGATGAGATCATTGGGACACAAAGCCTCAGCCTCCCAAAGTCTACCGTGTAACAGCCCTGTATGTGTACCCTTTAATCTATAATATAGGCTGAAATTAAAGATAAATAAATACAATAAAATGATATAAGGCCAAAAAAATGGGGTTAACTGACCAAGGTAAGGAACTCTGCACTATGAACCCTAACCCAGCTCAAAAAAATAAACTGTACTCATTTAAAATAATTGTAAATTGTATGATGATAATTGTATAAAAATTATACATGAAAGTGCAAAACCCTAAAATTAAACACCGTATAATGGAATTTCAGATGATTGCCATCTTATTCTTTATACCTTTACTTTTTGTTCCGTTTTCAAGTGACATGTTTTATTTATCCTCCAGAAGTCACCTCTAGCACCCAACCCCTCCTTTTCCACTGTCCACCTCAGCCTTTCCTCGGGCCTGGGACTGTGGCTTCCTTGGCACTGAAGGCACAAGAGCTGCATTCAGCCTTGGGAGAGAGGAGGATGCAGGGCAGGTGGTGGGGGTGGTCTCGGCATTGCAGAGGAAACTCACAGCTCAGGTCCTCTGTCCCAGAAGACTGCGTTTCTCCACCAGGTTAGCTACAACCAAGCCAACCTTGCCCCGTCTTCATTTTTTTTTTTTTTTCCAAATTCTTTCCAACTGGTACTTGAACATTTATATTATTCCTCCTAAGATTTCTTTCTATGTCTTGTCTACACAATATATCCTGATTTATTGTGCCAGAAAACACCAGACTCACCATCTCAGTGACAGTTGCAAAGCCACAGTCTCCACTCGCTGGAGGGGCACGCTGGGCTTGGAGACCCATCAAAAGCCACAGCTCTAGAGAACTATTTGGCCTGTCTGGAACCCACTGAAAAAGCCCCATTCATTGGGTTTGTCATTGTTTGACCTCCTGAGGTCTCTCTCTAGGTGAAAAGCTAGATCCTTACAGCACTGAATAAAAGCAATCATTGCAACTGTACAACCCCACTAGTGGGAGAAATTGAGAGAAAGATTTGGGGAATGAGATGTGTGTAGGGGCTGGCACGTGCCCAGGCAGCACCTGAGAAGGCCCCATCTCTGAGCTTTGGCTGACCTGAAGGTTCTATGCAGGCAGGAACTGGAGCTGCAGTGGTGACATCAGCTGCCCGCCTGAGTGCGGCAGGGGCAGGAGTGCGACACACACACAAAGCCCTCTAGGGAGGCTGGGGAGAGACTCGCTGGCTCAAGGCATCGATGCAAACCCCTGCCCAACCTCACCCAACTGAGCAGAGCCTTCAGGGGCCACCCAAGACAAGGAACACAGATGTTATGAGATCCATCCAGAAAAGTCACTAAACAAGCAGCAGTGACACACCTTGAAGAGAGAGGACATCTGATTCCAGAGCTACCACATGGGATTCTTGTAAAATTCAGTTTCATATCAAAAAATATAAGACATGCAAAGAAGCAGGGAAGGATCCCCAGACACAAACAAGGAACCAGCCCCTGGAACTGTCCCCGAGGAAGCCCATCTGTTGGCCTTAGTGAGTTACTCAGTGTCACTCCGAGGCAATGTTAATTAAGGGGAGATTGTGGGGAGGATGCTGTCCAGCTTCCTCATTTCCATGGAGACAGGACTCAGAAGAGGTGGTGCTAGAGACTGAATGTCTTTGTCCCCCCAAACTTAATCCCCAATGTGTACTAGGAGGGGAGGATTTAATAGGTCATTAGATTATGAGAGAAGAGCCCTCAAGAATGGGGTTGGAGGGCTAGGTGCAGTGGCTCACACCTGCAATCCCAACACTTTGGGAGGCTGAGGTGGGCATATCACTTGAGGTCAGGAATTTGAGACCGGCCTGGCCAACATAGTGAAACCCTGTTTCTGCTAAAAATACACAAATTAGCCATGCATGGTGGCAGGTACCTGCAATCACAGCTACTTGGGAGGCCAAGGCAAGAGAATCACTTGAACCTGGAAGGCAGAGTTTGCGGTGAGCCAAAATTGTACCATTGCACTCTAGCCAGGGCAACAAGAGCAAAACTTTGGGAAGGAAGGAAGGAAGGAAGGAAGGAAGGAAGGAAGGAAGGAAGGAAGGAAGGAGGGAGGGAGGGATGGAGAGAGGGAGAGAGGGAAGGAAGGAAGGAAGGAAGGGGAAAAGGAAAGCATGGAAGGGAACGAAAGAAAAAGAAAAAAAATGGAAGTACATCTTTGTGACATTGGGTTTGGCTAAGGCTACTTAAGTACTGTATGCCAAAGTACTATTGCCAAAAGAAAAACAGTTTGATTTGACTAATTCCAAAGGTAATAAATATTCTGTGCTTCAAAAAGAATGCCATTTAGAAAGTGAAAAGACAACTTACATCATGGAGAAAATATTTGCAAATCATATATCTGGTAAGGGGCTGGCATCCTGACTATATAAAGCACTCTTACAAGTCAATATTGTGAAGAGAAATAATGCAAAACAAATGTGTGGAAAGGTTTTCAACGGACATTTCTCCAGAAAAGTATGCATTGTCACTAAGCCCATGAAGAGAGGCTCAACATCAATAGCCGTCAGGGAAACGCGAATCACGCCAAGGAGATGCCATCTCACACCCAGTAGGATGGCTGTCATCGTAACTACAATGAGGACATGGAGAGACTGGATCTTCACCCTGTCCAGGGGCAGAGCCAGACAGATGGAGTTGGGGTGGACTGTGGGCGAGAGTGTGGCCTGCGAGACTGTCATGGTGAATATTAGGTGTCCAGTGGATTGCATTGAGAGATGCCTAGATGGCTGGTAATGTACTGTTTCTGAGTGTGTCTGTGAGGGTGTTGCCAGGGGAGACTGACATTTGAGTCGGGGGACTGGGAGAGGAAGACTCCATCAGTGTGGGTGGGCATCATACCATGGGCTGCCAGCCAGGCTAGAAGAGGGCAGGCGGGAGAGGGTGGGGCTCTCTGGCTTCTCTCTGCCTCCCCTGCAGGTGCTTGCCTCCTCCCTCCTTGGACATCAGACTCCAGGTTCTTTGGCCTTCAGGCTCTGGGACTTGTACCAGCAGTTTCCAACTTCCGGGGACTCTGGGACCTTTGGCAGGGGGCTGAAAGCTGCCCTGTGGGTGTCCCAGGTTCTGGGGCTTTCTGACTTGGCCTGACCTCTACTGGCTTCTCTCCTCCCCGGCTTGCAGACGGTCTACCATTGGACTTCACCTTGAAATCGTGTGCGCCAATCCTCCCTAATAAACTCCCTTTCATATATATATATATATGTGCCTGTATCCTATTGCTGCAGTCTCTCTGGTAAACTCTGAATAACCCGGGGTGGGGGTGTCTCTGTGTCACCCTCTCCCATTTTCGGGACTGGGGTTTCTCCTTGTTCTCCTGCCGCCTGTTTCTCCTTCCCTTTCTCCCATCCTGTCTCTGAACCTAATTTTCCACACGTCCAGGGGTTTTCTCCGCCTCAGGACGTCCATCCTGGAAGGGGTCCCAGCCCAGCGGAGGAACCAAGAGCCCTGGACCGCAGTCGACAGGATCGGGGAGGGGACGGCGAGAAGCCCCTGGCCCGACCCATGGACCCTCAGGACCAAGTGGGTCACGGGCGCCTCCCACCAGCAGCCATGTCAAGTCCTCCGGCCCCCCGCACCAGGCTGTAAGAGGAAACAGCAGCCGCCCCTGACCCCCCATCACCTCAAGCCAGGAGGAAAAACCGTCCCCTGCCGCGATGGGCGAGGCCTCCCACGTCTTCCAAAGGCGGTTCCGTCCGCAGCGACCTGACTGAGGCCG